AAATAAATTTAATTTAATTTAAAAAAACATTATTTTTGAACCCCAAAACTTTGAATGGTAGGCCACATCATATATTGTCTAGGTCTAGATTTTTTTAACTAAAGTGCTATCTATCTACAGGGCGACTTTTTTGGATAAACCTTAGCTATCGTTCAGTTTGAAGATGTCGCCAGTACTGCTTTCCCGGCGCAGTATCGCGCCTCTCAGCGTCTATTCTGTGCAGTGAGCGGCAGAGAAGCAGCGCATTCAGTTGGCCGTACTGCAGCCGACTCGTCAGCAAATGAGTACAAATGTAAACTGTCGCTTACTGACTGTTTGGACTAAATATGAACATGGTTCATCTGTTAATATGCACTTTTTGTTACTCGGACGCAGGCAGTGCGCTGCATGTAACGAAGTAATATAGCCAAAACCACCGCAGACAGCCGCTCTTTAGTGTAGCTGTATGTTGATTTTATCAGATGATGTAGCATTTATAAATCAGGATTTAAAGGGATAGTTTACATTTACATTTAGTCATTTAGCAGACGCTTTTATCCAAAGCGACTTACAAATGAGGACAATAAAAGCAGTCAAAACTAACAAAAGAGCAACAATATATAAGTGCAAATGACAAGTCTCAGTTAGCCTAACGCAGTACACGTAGCAAGGGATATATATATGAAAGTGAAAGTGAAGTGACATGTGGCCAAGTATGGTGACACCAAGTATGGTGATCCCATCCAAAGTGCACACACACAGCGGTGAACACACACACACCCGGAGCAGTGGGCAGCCATTTTTTTGCTGCAGCGCCCGGGTAGCAGTTGGGGGTTCGGTGCCTTGCTGACTTTTTCAGGTTTTAAGTGCTATAATCAGATCCCCAGAGCATCTACCAACCAAGGAAACGTGAAAAAGATTAACCCAGTAACTTTGTTTTGGTAAGCCTTTTTCTGCAAGCGTCTGAGAAAACGAGCACGTCTGATTTCGCTCCCCTAGTGGCATTGCAAAGGGATCTCATTATAATATTACCGCCCCTTAATCTTAAGTTTCCACCCACGGCGCCGTCATTTTGATTTTGCTAGCAACAACGGTGTACCAGTTCTAATGCCATGGTGAAAGTTTGAGCAAAACATGCTAACTGTTCTGTCTTTGGCAGCACAGATGAGCACAGAACACTATTTAGAGTCTAATATGGTTTAAAACGCATGATTTCAGCGCGATAAACATAATTCGAACCAAAACAGATGTTTTTTAGCAGGTACGAGCTGTAATGGCGCAGCTTTATTCTGGAAAAGGGGGCGGGAGCAGTAGCTCATGTAGCTTCAAAAATGATATAATGATCTGTGGGATATTTTGAGCTGAAACTTCACAGACACATTCTGGGGACACCTGAGACTTATATTGCATATTGTAAAAAGGGGCATAATATGTCTCCTTTAAGATATTTTTTATGCAGTACAAGAGCTCTCTAGTGCCATTTTTGAGAGTATCACATACGTAAACAATGTATGCTGTTCTGTGTCAGCAGCACCGTATGTGGATTCGTTGTTTACTCTTTGATCTGAACGTAAACAACGTATCTGCGTACATGCATTGCATATGTTGTTTATGTATGTGATAGTCTCCAAAATGGCAATATAGGGTGACGCGGAGGAGACAAATTGTTGAATAAAGTCGTTATTTTTGTTTTCTTTGTGCACAAAGTATTCTCGTAGCTTTGTAAAATTATGGTTGAACCAATGATGTCACATGGATTATTTTAACAATCTACGTTTCTGAGCCTTGATCGCGTAAGGATCCTTGCTGTCTATGGGAGGGTCAAAGAGCTCTCGGAATGCATCAAAAATATCTTAATTTGTGTTCCGAAGATGAACAAAGGTCTTAACAGGTTTGGAACGACATGATGGTGAGTAATTAATGACACAATTTTCGTTGTTTTAATTTTTGGGTGAACTATCTCTTTAAGAGGTATAGCGAGAGTGAATCCTGGTTAACAATTTGAGACTTTAGTCTTTGCAACTTTACAGATCTTCTTTATGCACCAAGAGCTTGTAACACTTCAAAGAGAAAGGAAAAATTGAAATCGCATCATATGACCCCTTTAATGGGTCATGTTTAGTCACTATTTATAGTTGTTATACTTTATCAATCTGTCCGTCTGTCTGTTGCTGTTAGTTTGGGCTGGGACTCTGCGTTTGTTCCAACTGATTTAACAGTCTGTAACAACTGGATAGAAATACCCATTAACATTCTGGTACAGGACCTTGATAAATGTGTTGCTAACAAAAATTAAGTCAGACTACATCTTACTTTGAATGACTATCAAAGAGAGAAAGATTTTAGGAGTTAACTAGGCCATGCTAACCAACCGTACTGTGACCCTTTGGCCGACAAAGGAAGCATCCAAGAAAATTGTCATTATTTTTGCAATTCCGGATGGTGATGCTAGCGTCACAGAAATTGTACACTTCAGCTTTAATGATCAGTACTGTTTGGTGTAGTGGTGTGACGCTTTGACAGTCAAACTGCTAGTAGGTGGAGGGTGGACTCAGGCAGATTAAAGAAGCATCCTGCAGGGGCGATGCGCAGAGATTCACCTCATCAAATATTACACACGCTTGCATCAGGATTCAGCTTTCTCTCTCTCTCCCTTGCCCGCTCCATCTGTCTGTCTCTCTAATGCTCCCATTCCTTCTCTTTTCTTCCAAGTCTTATTCTACATTTTAACTTCCTCATGCTGTTGCTCTGTGTAGCCTTTCCTTATGTCAAAAGAAAAACAACAAACCTGTATTGTGTGCCTTTTTTTCTCCCTTTCAGGTCATTCCTTTTGTTGTTGCCCTACCCCTCTCCTTTTTATCTTCCTTCCTCTACCTCTTCCTCTCTCATGCCTTTAACAGCTCCTGTCTCTTTAAATGATATCAGCGTTCCTGGTGCTCACAACTGTTGTTTTCCTTTTATTCAGCCATATGAGCCGGCAGATGATTGGTCTGAACACATCAGTTCTTCAGGGAAGAAGTACTACTACAACTGCAGGACTGAGGTGTCTCAGTGGGAGAAACCCAAAGAGTGGCTGGAGAGGTAATAAAAGCATGCTTTCACCCCTGGGCTCAGACTCAAATTGTACTTAATTATAGTGATCAATGCAGGTGGAAAAGTTGAATCTAGTGTGTTTCCACAGAAGAAACATTCCCAGCAATAAGAGGAAAATTCTTTTTAGCATCTTCTTGCTTTCTGCAGAAATAGTATTTTGCAGTCTTAGGCCTGTTTCACACATCTTGCAGCACTTTAGCGAAGCAGTAGTGCGATGGAAACTGCATCACGGGTTGAGCTTTCACACTGACAGTGAGCTTTCATCAAAGACCATTTATGACCTTTCAAAGCTCCACATTTGCTGTGCTTGTTTGATGAACTGCACAAATTGACCAAATTTGTGATTTATTTAACAATTACTATAAAATATTAACTATTATCAGAATTGTTTATATTTTTAAATAAAAATATTAATCAAATGAGAAATTATTATTCTGGTATTTCACTGTAAAATAAGTTCGCAAAAATTTAAAAAATGTTTTATTTTAGGTTACAACATTTTTATCATATTTTGATTTTAAAAATATTGCAGTATATAAGTGCAACTCTATTATTCCTTCTCATTTTTTGAGATAGCCTTAGATTCTGACATGGCAATAAAAATAAATAACTACTACTAGTACTACTCTTGTTTTTCAAACCATCAAACTTTTATTTTGGAGGAAAACAAGCTCTTAAAAAACCCTTAAAGTTTATTTTGTTGACAACAGCTGGTTTATAAGTACTTCTCATGAAATTTTTTGAAATCATGTTTAGGGTGACGTACGGACCATTTTTACGGGAAGCGTCCTTGCCAGGATTTCTATATTGCCTAAAATATCCAGGTTTTGGCTGTTTGCACTGTGCAGATCCATCGTTGTATGACATTCACAAGAGCTATAGAGAGCAGAGTAGACGGCTCCTTATGCATTCGAGTCTCTCACGCAGTACTTTGGTGTCATACAATGATCGGTGTGTAGCGACGCTTCAAGTCGAACGAACAAACAAACACGTGTGCGTATTTGCATCGCTTTGATTGTTCCCTAGATATCACCTTCTCATGTGCCACGATTGGTCGCTTATGTACAATACCGGCATGTTATTGGTCAAACTGCTTTGGATGTTTTAGGCAATATAAAAATCCTGGCCAGGACGTGTCCCGTATAAATGGCACTTATGGCCACCCTAATCATGTTGCATTCCCAAATGTATGTTAAGTGACCACAAACTCACCGAACATGCAGAGATGGAACAGCATTGACTGCAAACCAAGCTGTTCTGAGACACTGAAAACACAGGGTCATGAGTTGCTCACACAGTGCAGTGCTACGCTTTGAATGCATATGTAATGCAATTGCAGTCTTTGTGATTTGATAATCACACTGTCATATCACGATATAGTTAATGATACATAATGAATGCTGGAACCATTAATCTGTGCGCTGAAATTAAATTGTGCTCCAAATACAAAATAAAATGGGCCTAATTCCACTTATCGAGTGTCTTGCGGAAAGTTGAGACAGCTAGACTCTTTGTGAGGCTTTTTTCTGCTGTGCCCATTATGTGTGTAAAGCTGATGTGGTTTTGTTGTCTTGTGAATGCCAGTACCATTTGTGAACGCCTTCCTGTTTCAGAGAGCAAAGGCAGAAGGAGGCAACCAAGGTGGCTACAGTGGTCAACAGTTTCCCTAAAGACAGGGACTACAGGCGTGAAGCCATGCAAGCTGCGCCCGCCAGCTTCTCCAGCACTAGTAAGTATCAATGCCTGAAAACACACATTATTTAGCTGTGTAAAGGTTAAGTGAGTGCAGTCCAGTTTATTGGGGTAGTCTTAAGGTATAAAGCATCTTTAGGACCAGCATTCTCTTGATCATGGTTGTCTTAAGGCAGTGGTTCTCAAAGTGTGGGGCGTGCCCGCCGGGGGGGGTGTTGTACGAGTTTTGCAGGGAGGGCGCGGGCCATCAGAAGAAAAAGAAAAGAAATAAAACAGTAAACAGCCAAAGGGCGTAACTTAGAATGGGAGATGGATTGGTTTGGGAAAGGGAAGAGAAAAGCCATAGATGAAGTCACACAGACCCAGGCAGTTGCTGGTCATTCAAAAGCTAAATGCAGAAAATATGACGAGGCATCTCTTGCTCTCGACTTCACACGACAAAGCGACCGTTGCAAATCATTTTAACTTTGTGTCAGTACATCATAAATAGAACAAGGCATCATGTTTTGTCGGAAATTTGTCGTGTTGCTGGGGATGGGTACCGAGAACCGGTATTTTTTTGGACCGGTACGTAATTGGGTCAATACCGGACTACCGATAAGTTTCAGGACAAACGATACTGTTATCAATACTTGCGTTGTTTTATCTCTGAATAAAACAAGCTGCTGCTTGTCATTTTTCTTCACTGAATGATGTGGCCGACATTTGCTCGACGTGCATTTGATATCAATGCACATGTGCTGTGTGTGTTTGCGTGCAATCAGTGGCGGTGAAACGTTCGAAAGTGTGGGCTCATGTTACAAAACTAAGCGACACCAGTGTCGGATGCAATATATGCAGTAGTGTAATAGTGAGCAAAGGAGGCAACACTAGTAATACAATGAAACATTTACTTACAAAACACAACATCTACCTCAAGCGATGCGCAGTATTTACTATGTCTCCCGGCTCCAGCTTCAACTGCAACTTGCGCAACACATTCACATCAAATGTTGATTCAGCGGTAGTTACACTCACGAGACACTGCACTTATTTGCAATTACAAAAGTACATTATTTGCGTGTGCTATAAAACCTTGCCGGTTAAACGTTTCATTTGTGTGCTGTTCTGACGTGCGCTTTAATTAGAGCACGTACACTAAAAGGCCGGTCAAACAGCACCTGATTACTTGGTTATCTTAGTTAGCGACTGATTGCACTTATACTCTCAAAAACACACAAGGTTTACATATACACACAGTGAAAGTAAACAGTTGAGAGAAAAAACAGATGCGTGCAGCTCTTAAAGCAACAGTACTAAACATGCTGCCGATTGTCATTAAAGGGATAGTTCACCCAAAAATTACAATTCTGTCATTATTTACTCACTATGTACCAAACCTGTATTAATTTCTTTCTTGTGCTGAACACAAAAGAAGATATTTAAAATAACTCACTGCTCTTGACTGAAGAACTTTAATACAGTTGCTAAAATTCAGCAGTAATAAAATAACTTGAAATTTTCAACAACTTTTCACATCATATCTTTTTGCACTAAATGGTATCGATAAGCAGTATCGGTATCTGTATCAGTATCGTTAAAATGTAAATGATACCCATCCCTATGTGTCGCGTTGCGCTGCATCAAGTGTAGACAGCGTCACTGATTATAATGGGTTCTACTGTATTTTGCCGCTCGCGTCTGGTGTAGACACGGTGTTAATTTCGTTGATGAGGAGGAAAGGCCTGTGTGTGTCCTATGCCTTAGTGGACAGCAAACCCACAAAAATAACAAAGAGAATAATAATAAGTTATTCTCTCTATGCTATTTTTCACTATTTTTCACTGTATAATGGCAGTGGTCCCTTCTCAGCTGCTCCAGCAACGGACGCAACCCGGAAAACTATCGGCATTGATTTTTGCCAATAACCGATAGTTCCGCCAATCAATTATTGGTGCCGATTAATCGGCAAAACCGATGAATCGGTCGACCTCTAGTATAAATCTCAATTTCGAGAAATTGACCCTTATTACTGGTTTTGTGGTCCAAGGTCACATATTAGTGAGAGGAAAAGTTCATCATGTCACTTGGTTTGCAATTGCAGAGTCATTACTGACATGCTGTTTAATCGAGCCACATAGCCTTTTTTTCACAGACCATCACAGATTGGTTTTGTATTTATAGCACGACAACATTTAGAGCTTTTGGAATGTTTTTATGTATCAAACTTCTGCTTATCCACACCACCCACGTAAGCAGTGTCGGGGTCTGCTGGTCCATGCTGGTAGGAGGCAGTAGCAAGTCTTTGCCTTATGCAGCATGACGTGTTAATGCTCTTTAAACACTCCTGTTCTGCATGCTTCTATTTTTCTTCATTTATTTTCCAGTCATCACAGCAGTTTACTTCTCTTTGAGTACAGTTTTCAATGCTTGACAGTATCAAGGCAGTTGAAGGGTTTAAGGCACAGGTTTTCCACTGTCATGGAAAACCTCAGAATTTGAAAATTATTTTTCCAGGCCTGGAAAATTTTTTTTACTTCCTTGAGTCATGAAAATGTATATATTAAATAATACATTTTGTTGGTATGCTCTGTTCTAAAGTATTTCATCACTTAGGGTGTACTCACACTAGGCACGGTTACCTTGAACTAAACCCGAGTGCGATTATACCCCCTCCCCACTCCCCCACTGGCCTGCACTCACACTTGCACCAAACTTTCCGGGCTGGAGCACGCTTACATCATGTGCGAGATAACGGAGAAACCCACTTTCGCTAATATTCTACCTAATAAATTTGTAATTTATGCCGTGCCTTGATTTTCACTTGTAAGTATCAGATAATTATTACGGAGGCAGCTGACGTTAATGACAGATTTTGCAGCTTTAAATCACAGACTACAATTCCAATTCGTCAATAAGGTGAGAACCAGACCCATTATAAACGTAAATATACTTGATTGAATTAAATTAATTGAAAAGTGTAGTGTAGTAGTAGTAATAGTATATGTTTGCGGTCGTAATGATGACAGTAGTGCACAAAATAGTATCTGTTCCGTGCTCCGGCGCGTTTAGCGCTCGCAGTACATGCGGCACGGGGCGATCACACTAGTGAAACGAACCGCGCTTTGGGGGTCAAACGCGCTCTGGCACGGTTCAAACCGCCTAGTGTGAGTACACCCTTAGATATCACTCTTGGTGAAGTAAAAATAAATTTGTAATTTATGCCGTGCCTTGATTTTCACTTGTAAGTATCAGATAATTATTACGGAGGCAGCTGACGTTAATGACAGATTTTGCAGCTTTAAATCACAGACTACAATTCCAATTCGTCAATAAGGTGAGAACCAGACCCATTATAAACGTAAATATACTTGATTGAATTAAATTAATTGAAAAGTGTAGTGTAGTAGTAGTAATAGTATATGTTTGCGGTTGTAATGATGACAGTAGTGCACAAAATAGTATCTGTTCCGTGCTCCGGCGCGTTTAGCGCTCGCACTACATGCGGCACGGGGCGATCACACTAGTGAAACGAACCGCGCTTTGGGGGTCAAACGCGCTCTGGCACGGTTCAAACCGCCTAGTGTGAGTACACCCTTAGATATCACTCTTGGTGAAGTAAAAATTGCCAAGCCAAAATGTATGATTTTGTGTGACTTAGTATTAGGGCTGTCAAAAAAAAAATCGAATTTCGAATATTCATCGAATTTAAAATAAAAATCCACATTCGAATGCAAAAACGTTGTGCGTTGTTCATTAAAAATATTGCGGAAAAAAGAACATCAATGCGGAGAAGATCTAGTTTACATCAAAACTGAAACCAAGCCGTTCACACACAACACATTTTCTAGAGGGACATCTATTACCGTTGCACTCGCATCTCGCACAAAGGAGCCGCATGTTTAGAAAGCCATGTAAAATTAATGCAAATTTAACTTTGAAAAAAACGTATATATGGCGGGTTTTTCCCCCCATCCCACTGCAACTCATGTTTTTAAATTAAAAATGTACTCTGTGTGATTGGCTTTCCGCCCTTTGTATTAAACTATGCATACATACATGATGCTGTTTTGTTTATAGTTGTTTAAGCAACTTAATTATAATTGGATTATAAACATTATTTTAAACATTATGCATTTTATTCACAGAGTCGTTATCTTATGCTTTGAATAAACGTGCATTAGTAATATTTTGCTCGATCTGCCCTCTTGTGGCCTCAGAAGAGAAGCCAAAAGTTATTCTTCACCATAACTGAAATTTTGCATTTTAAGTTCAAACATAATTTGAATTTTGATAATATTAAGTACAAAATTCTAATTTAGTTTTTCAGCCATTTTGACAGCCCTACTTAGTATTGAGTCTTTCTTTCCATTGAATGAGCCAAACCAGAACACAGACTGGTGGGAATGATTGATTAGTGAATTGTTGAAGGGATTTGAGTGATTCTTAAAAGTCATTATCTAATAATTACAAATGACTGGAAAGCAATTCATTTGTTAAAAAATGTGGGAACCCTGAAGGCAGTCCATAATTTTGCTGGTCTTCTGTCTAGAATTGTAATCATTCAACGTTTAATGCACACAGTGTTGTGAATGGGGAGAAGTGCTTGAAGAAGAGGTTTTGTGAAAGGTGGTGTAATAGTGTGGATGGCTTTCCTTAAGGAAATATGTTCTGGCCAGACTGTCAAAATGGCAAAAAAAAAAAAAAATGACCAGTACAATTCAAAACAACGTATCCATGTGATGCAGCTGACACAGAATAGCATACGCTGTTTATGTTCAGTGGATACTCTTCAAAATGGCGCCAGGGTGACGCGGAGGAGACATTGTTGAATAAAGTAGTTTTTTTTTCTTTGCGCACAAAAAGTAATCTCGTAGCTTCGTAAAATTTTCAGGTACAGAAATGTAATAATCAAATGTAAAATAACACTGCATAGTCTTCACTGTATATATTAAATATAGATTAATCCTTATAAAAGTTGTTCAGTCAAAATCAGTGAGATTTTTTTTTTATTTGACAGAAGTTTTCTGTTAGTCTACTTTCACTTTAAGAAGGAAAGCACGGATCCAAAATACTGATACTCATCCGTTTTCTTTCTCAATTGTTTACGTTAAGACATAGGCCGAAGAGCGGAAGAGAGCTCAATTAGGTATTAGCGCACTGTCGATGCGTCTATCTGTATGTGTGCGCTTTGGATGTGTGCGCGTGTCACTGCGCGCTGAAAACTCACAAGCGCTCGACAATTCCATCAACTATCCAGATTGTTTTTTATGCTCGCCCTTCAGGCAGTCTTATCGTCTCAACACGTGAGTTTAAACGAGAATGCACGCATTGGCGGTGATACATAGACAGACATTGGTGAAAATGTGGACAGTGTCAAAATAAGGTGCCTATTTATATTACAGATATCGATATTTTACGTGTGGCATCGATGCATCGTATCATTAGACATTTAATCGATGCATTGATCCATATCGATGGATGGTTACACCCCTACAAGGAATTATACGGTTGTACTGAAATTGTGTATTTTATGAGAAAAGAATGTCCCTTGTCTCTATAAAAACTAACAGCCGTGTTAAAAAATTTGGAGATTGTTTCTCTAATTGAAAATATTTCAATATGCATTATGCATCACAGAACAAAAAATCAGATTTGCAGAGATAAGCCTGTAATGGCCTGATTTTATATCTTGTAAGTACAACGCATGCTGTGTTTTCATGATGAGGAACTGTACGCGCGGTCTCTAAATTGTTGTTCTAGCTGCTCAGCGCGCTTGCTCTTAGGGCACCTGTTAAGAAATGTTCAGTAGCGTCTCTCCACGTTGCCAGCCTTGGGAATTGTGGGCTATTTTTAGATCCTGACGTCTGCAGCAGCTATTAAACAATGAAAACTGCTCCATTTGTACACTCATCATGTGTTTCACTCTAGGTGCTAAAGTGAAGCTCTGCTTATTCTGAATGCATGTCATATGAACATGCTCTCATTTCCAGCTTTTGAACAGACTGTCTCTAAGATCTTTGAGATTTTTTTCAGGTGAAATTTTGGCTGTAGATGATTTGGATGAATCTTTAGGCAAAATCTGAAATTGTTGCTGAGACGCTTTCAATAAGCTGTTTTTTCCCCCCACTACTGTCACAAACAAACTTTTTCACCCCTATAAACAGAGTCTTCGATTGCCACAGAGAAGCCTTCCTCACTCACACCCTCCTCTTCCTCTGCTGCTGTGTCTGGCTTAAGTGTGGCCAACTCTGCCAGCACCGCCTCAGGCTCTACAGTTCCAGTTTCTCCGGTGATGCAGTCTCCGGCCCTGCCCACTCTTCTCCAAGACCCCTCCCTCTTACGTCAGCTCCTCCCCGCTCTGCAAACGGCCCTGCAGCTTAACAACGCCAGTGTAGACATGGCCAAGATCAATGAAGGTAAGTGTTTTGAATCTTAGTGAATAGAATCAGTCGTGGACCATGGTTACCAGACATTTTTATCCAAAACATTACAGGGACAGTCGCACTTGAGGATCCTGAGGTTAAATCCTTGCTTGCTCTTCTGCGGTAATGGCAGTTACCACCTCTGAACTTTACTACACCACTATAACTTCAATGTGGTGTTAGCAAACATTCGGTTTGCAGCTTTATTCTAGTTGGGTTTCTTGTACCACTCAAGCGGGGATATAATTGCTTATTTACTTGTGCATGCTGGGCTTGCGTCAGGTTTTCCTCTCTAAACTTCACATCTCGGGCATCAATCATAGCTTTGCTGCTTCCTGAACATGGTCTGTGTGAATTGCCATTTGTGAACGTTTCATTGCTTCTCACTTTCAATTATTGGCCGCATTTGCAAACTATGATGCATAGTAGTCGCATATGCGAGTGATTTACTTGCAATGTAGAGGGTTGAGTTGCAAACTGATTCTCCTAGCCAGAATCAGGGTGAACGAGATGTGCCATCCAGAAAGTCTGAATGGATTTTGGCTGGTCTGGTCTTGCACCACTGCATATGGCAGATGTGTGTAAACAGTGAAATGCAAAAGTTTGAATGATCCAGTGCTAGGGCTGCTGCATCATTCTTTAAGTACATTAATATTGGATTCAAACTAGTTGCAGGGAACGTTTCCTCTTGTTTAGGCTGTGTTGAAGTGCTTTGCTTGAAGGGTTAGTTCACCCAAAAATGAAAATTCTGTCATTAACTCACCCTCGTGTTGTTCGAAACCCATAAGACCTTCATTCATCTTCGGAACACAATTTAAGATATTTTTGATGAAATATGAGGGCTCTCTGACCCTCCCATAGACAGCAAGGTAACTACCACGTTCAAGGTCCAGAAAAGTACCAAGATGATCGACAAAGTAGTCCGTGTGACATCATTGTTTCAACTGTAAAGTTACGAAGCTACAAGAATACTTTTTCGTATTTCGTATTTTAGAAGTGCCATGGGATTTTTAATGACCACAGAGAGTCAGGACCTCGGTTTAACATCTCATCCGAAAGAATCGCTGGGCTACATCATGTGTCATTCACCGGTGAGAAAACTTTAAAAGTAGTACAATACCAGGAAGGAAGATCGGGTTGTTGATGTTTGTCTGCCATTCTCGCTCTGTCTGCACAGCGTGCGTGAACGCGCTGATGACGTATCCTGTCTGCGCGAACCGAGTGCACAGAGGTATGCTAATACATACGTTGACAGGCAGGTAGGAAAGCCAATTAAAATGCTTGGACCGAACGTTTTGATTGGACGAACATTTCTTGGTCCTACGCCTTCCACAGAATATATAACTACAGAAATACATTTAGACCACTTAACTTAATGATTGCTATCGGGATGTGAAGAGACTTTCAACCAGCATAACAAAAAAAATTTCTGAAGACAATCATCTATTGCACCTTTAATGTTACCAAAGCATTTAGTAAAGAAAGGGTTTTTCATCCAGACTCTGATTTCAATGTTAGGTTTTTTTCTTTTTGACTGCTTCCTGTCTTCACCTTTTGTCCTTGCTTTCTTGCTTCATTCTGTGTGTTCTCTGTGTCTCTAGTTCTCACGGCTGCAGTAACTCAGGCTTCGCTGCAGTCCATGCTCCATAAGATCCTGACTGCTGGTCCGTCTGCCTTCAACATCACAACATTGCTCTCCCAGGCTACTCAACTGTCCAGCCAAGGTACATACACACACTCTGCTATCTCTCTCGTACTACCTTTTACTTTTAAACCTGCTGTTTTGTGCTACAATGCCATCCAAATTATGGCGTTGACACATGTGGTTTTAAGGTTTGCTCTGTTTTGTGACCTGATCTTGAACTTCATAACTTGAGCTCATGGTTTTGATTTGTTTTTGGCGCGAGGTTGTGTTGCTTGTGTTGTCGACTCATGTCAGCTGTGGGGTTCTGAGTCCGCTTCCTTGAGTTAGCAGATGGGATTGGTAGCTTAGCGCACACACATATACACACACACCCACACCCACACCCACACACACAGGCTTGGCTGCTGCTGTCTGAGCAGGTAATGGTGGGCCACGTGGGCCTCAAAAATTATTTCTGGTTTTAACACAAGTAGCTCTGTACATGGATTTGTCATGCAGCATCTGTTATTTGGCCATATCTAAATTACATGTTTTATTGCATGTTCACAATAAATGATAGGCTGTATCTTCATAACCAGTAGCTTTTATGTAAATACTTGGCAAGACAGGCATTTTGACACATTTGTGTAGTTGACCTTTCAAGCGTAGTAATCCTTGAAAGAGAACTCGATTCTTTTCAATCCTTTTCTTTTGGATATCAAGTCAGTGTTTTCCATAGGATTTTTGTGAGACTGTGGTGGGGTGAATACCAGACCATCAAGATTTAATAAAAATGTGTACATTTTAAAGTTAAATGCACCAGTTTTGTACACTGAGAGCAAAATTAAGAACTCCAACCCTTTTTCAGTCACCAAAGTAAACAAAATCTGCATTGATTTGTGCCTGGACATTAAAGTGTACTTTAACCTCTTTAGTTGTGATAATTTCTCAGTCCAAATTACATTTACACTGGTGTTTTTAGAGAGCAAAACAATTTGAATGAAATAATTGATTATTATTATTGGGAAACACTGCAAAGTTACTAGGATATTAATAGGAAGCTCTTTCTTTTTTCTTTTTTTTCCTGTTTATATTTTATTTTTTGGTTCCTTGATTTGCTATGGCAGTTTTTAGTACTGTGCTGCATGGATATATTTGCATACTGCAACATAAAGTCTATCTAATGACACTTCATATTGTTTCCACAGTGTGTGAATTTTATATGAAATGGGATCAGACCTATTCTGGCATTAGTTTTCAAATGTTGCATAATGTAGTCTAAGGGTAAAATTGTTTTATAAATTAGAAGAAACTAGGAGACAGTGTTTCTGTGCTTTGAGGAAGTTGGTGATTCTATAGTCCTCTATAGCAGAAATAAAAGGTGTAAAAAATAATCAACATAACTTTTCTTACTAATGCACATAGGCACTTAAAAAATGCTGTAAAATGAGGATGCTGTCAAAAATAATGTCATAAATAGATTTTCTTTTTCAATTAACTTCTATTAACTAAATTAAATCAATATTTGGTGTGACCATCCTTTGCCTTTATAGCAGCTTAAGGTACCTAGGTGCACTTGCACGCAGTTTTTCAGGTAGCTTTGCAGGTAGGTCTCTTGAAGCATCTTGGAGACGTCGCCACAGTTCTTCAGGATTGAGTGTCTCAGTTTGTTCTGTTTCTTCATGTCATTCCAGACAGACTGGATGATGATGAGATCAGATCTCTTGTGTGGAGCTCTGGCTGTTGTCAGACTCCTTGAACAAACAAAACTCTCACTGGATTATTACAATTAATGGCAAAATGAATGTTTGGAAATGTAAACTGATATTTCCTACTGACACTACAGCAAAAAAGATAGAAATAACTGAGTTGAAACCATTTCTTAGCTGGTGAAAATACTAGTGTTCTAATGATTTTGCCCACCACTGTATTTAGGAGAACAGTAAGTCAGAGTGAGCTTCTTAGACTGTTAATGGCCTCAGTGTGTCAGATAGATAGATAGATAGATAGATAAATAGATGGATAGATAGATAGAGTAAATATTAGTTCAACTAAACTTTTCATTTAGTTGCCAAGGCAACATTTCAAAAGTTTATATTTTAATTTTCTAATATATATTTTATTTCAGCTTCATTTCTGTGTTTTGAGTTTTAGTTAAGGTTAACAACAGCAACTATAGATTGAAATCAGAGCCAGAACCACATTTGTTAACCAAGTACATGCCTGTTGTGATTAGACACTATCCCTTCACCTCATCTCTGTCTTCTCTCTCTTTTTGTCCTGTGGAGTAGCCCAGCAGTCCAGCCAGTCTCCGATGTCTCTGACGTCAGACGCTTCCTCTCCTCGGTCGTATGTGTCTCCTAGAATCGGCACACCGCAGACCAACACAGCCTCCCTCAAACCCCCTCTCAGCACCACGCCAGTCTCCTCACAGACCAAGGTATACTGCTGTCAAATGAGATGACAGATGTCACAAATGAAAGTATGGCTTTGTAACACATTCTCCCTATCTTTCTCAGATAAACGCTATGACAGTTAAGTCCAGTTCTCTCCCTCCACCATCGTCCCAGCAGTCCCTCCCCACAGACAAACATCACGACAACAGCAACTCTCCACGGACGCTGCAGAGACAGAGGTAACTTAAGACATTTGGAAATAACTGAACCGATTCATCAACTTTCTAAAAAAAAAAATGTGCAAAATAAGTTTAATGTAGGCTTATGGATACTGAACTGCTCAATGTATGCCTCAGCAGCCATATATTAGTAGCTCAAAGTGGCTTGTTTTGCGGCGTTTGACTGCCATCTTCTGGCTGTTTGTGATATTGCTGATTTTGATGTTCTAGGATCACATTAAGGGTCATGTTTGGTTCGATTAAAACGAACTCTGGTGCGATTGCTTTGTTAGTGCGGTTCGTTTGAGTAAGTGTGGACGCTGCCATCCGAACCCTGGTGCGCACCAAACAAGCGGACCGAGACTGCTAAAAAGATGGGTCTCGGTCAGCTTCCAAACGAACTCTGGTGCGGTTCGAATGAAATATGAACGCAACACGGACCAAATCCTTCTAAACAAACCAAAAACAGGAAGCAATGACAAGATGCGACGCTATGCGACATGATTTGACGACACTGTGTAACCAAAACAAAATGAGCAGAGGGCAAATGTGGATCAACGATGAGGTAAAGTGCCTTTTATGAGCTCCTTGTGAGTTTGCAGGTGGTGAAAATTAAATTATATGTACAAGCAAGAATGAGCATGTATCATTTTCCTTTTTGGTCCAGACCAAATGAACCAAACGAACCGAACTACAAGTGTGAACACACCCTAAATGAATGGATTTGTAAAGACCTGATGCACATAAAAAGTAGCTGTTTCAGAAAGACATTGACCCATCCACTGTTTGTGATTTGCAGCAGTCAGAGAAGTCCGTCTCCAGGTCCAAACCACATGGGCAGTAACAGCAGCAGTAATAATGGTGGTGGTCAAGGACCAGGTGTACCTTTTGTTTGGGGTGTTCGGTAAGTTCTGTCACGATATATATGTCATTCAAGCCGACCAATCCGGTTGTGAACGTATCACTGTGAACGCTAAGTGGACCAGGACCAAATGTATCATTTTCCTTTTTGGTCCAGACCAAATGAACCAAACGAACCGAACTACAAGTGTGAACACACCCTAAATGAATGGATTTGTAAAGACCTGATGCACATAAAAAGTAGCTGTTTCAGAAAGACATTGACCCATCCACTGTTTGTGATTTGCAGCAGTCAGAGAAGTCCGTCTCCAGGTCCAAACCACATGGGCAGTAACAGCAGCAGTAATAATGGTGGTGGTCAAGGACCAGGTGTAGTCAGCGGAGCAATGCCCCCGGGCTCAGTACCTGCTAGCACAGCTCCAGGCAGAGCAACGTGTTCCTTTACACCCACGCTGGCCGCACACTTCAATGAGAACCTCATCAAACATGTGCAAGGGTGGCCCGCGGAGCACGTGGAGAAACAGGTATGGAAACAAAAGTTTTTTTGTGAATAATTCATACTTTTATTCAGCAAGGATGCAATAAGTTGATCAAAAGTGACAGAGACTTTTAAAATGAAGATTTCTATTTCAAATAAATGCTGTTCTTTTGAACTTTCTATTCATTAAAATCCTGACAAAAGAAAAAAAATACCACACTTTATATTAAGTGGCTTTAACTACTTATATTTACATTAATCATTTGGTACATTGCACTTACTGTGAACATGCATGTTTTTACATAATTATATATATTTTTAAATACCTGCATGTAATAACATCTGTAATCAGTTTCTATAATTACATTTATAATTACACTGTTGACCCATTCCTTACACCGTAACCCACCCTTAAACCTACCCATACCACCAAACCTGTCACTAACCTTACCCGTATCCCACCAGCAAAAGTGCAAAAGCAAAAGGAGATGCAGAAGTGTTTTGCAATACAATATGAACACAATAAGTACATTGTACTTATTTTTATGTAAGTACATGGTAGTTAAGGCCACTTAATATAAAGTGGGACCAAAAAAGTATTACAGGTTTGACAAATATGAAGCTGCAACATTGTTTTCAATATTGATAACAAAAAGATTTTTTTTTCTTGAGCAGCAAATCGGCATATTAGAATCATTTCTGTAGGATCTGAAATAATGGCTGTTGAAAAGTCAGCTTTGCTGTCACAGGAATAAATGACATTTTAAAATATAAAAAAATAATCAAATTGTAATATTTATATTTATTAATATGTAATATTTGTTTTACTGTATTTTTAATCAAATAAATACTATTTTGATGGCTATAAGAGACTTAAAACCTAAAAAATAAATGATAATAAATTACCGACTATTACCGTTTACGGCTCAAAAAGTTAAAAAGAGTTTTTAGTTCTCTTAGTACTGACCATTTGATAACTCAAGGGCTCTTAATAGGGTCTCAGAAGACATATCAGGAAAAGGTTAGCACTAGTGTTAATTTGGTCAGCTATTTTCAATTTTAGTCTTCGTCTTAGTCCCGTGTTAAATGTCCTTGTTAGTTTTTATCATACCTTATCCTATTTAGTTTTAGTCAAGTTTTAGTCGACTAAGTCTCAACATTTTAGTCTAGTTTTAGTCGAAGAAAACCTGAAGTATTTTAGTCTAGTTTTAGTTAATGAAGACTTGATGAAAACCATACAACAGTATTAATTTTGGCAGCCATTTTTTATTTGGTCATAGTCTTACTCAAATGTACATTTTAGTTATCATATTTAGTCAACCTTGTCCTAATTTTGTTTAGTCAAGTTTAAGTCAACGAAATGTATGCGCTTTTTAGTCAATGAAATCTTAGTCACATTTTCATCATGCTGTATTATGGTTAAACTGATACAAATTATTTTTGCTCAAAATTATAATAGTAATGATTGTTGTCATTTGAGAAATTTACTTATGCATTTCAGGTATTGCACTTTCACCAGTAAGCACAAATCAATAGAATGGTGACTTGTACATGGTTTATTTTACCTCATCTAGTGTACTGATTTATTATAGGCATAGATAAATACTGATTTATCTCGTCTTTGTCCTGTCTTAGTCATGGGAAAAAAGCTCATCAGCGAACATTTTTCGTCATAGTTTTCGTTAACGAAATTAACACTAGTTAGCACCATATACAGCCTCAACACACAGCATTGGACTGTATTCATTAAGCACTGGGCTGCTGAACACAAATAATTGGCATACACCTGTCTGCTACCGAAATACAGATGTTTTTGTTGCATTGCTAACAATACACATACCACTCTCCCTTCCAGGCCTCACGGTTACGTGAAGAGGCTCACACCATGGGCAGCATCTACATGTCAGAGAACTGCACAGAGCTGAAGAACCTGCGCTCACTGGTGCGAGTGTGTGAGATCCAGGCCACGTTGCGTGAGCAGAGGTCAACGCATTTCACTTTCTCATATACCAGAGCATGTGCATGTGACTCACATTATCATGCAAATATACTAACTTGGCTCTCCCTTTGTTTTTCTCCACAGGATACTGTTTTTGAGGCAACAAATTAAAGAACTTGAGAAGTTGAAGAATCAAAATTCCTTCATGGTTTGAGGAACTGTGGGTTTGCGATGTGGTCTTGAAACAGGAGGAGAAGAGGGGTAGGTGAATGAGTGGGCAAAACCCATTTCGTGCGTGCGGAACCCTGGAGAACCAAAGTTCTGTTGCGTTCTGCTCTGGGCCCAGTCTTACATTAAACGAGCCGCAGCGAGGTCTTGCTTTGGACCGAAGGTGGGTGGGGGGAGGGGAGAGAGGGGCGGAGAGGTTTTCGGAGGAGTTGCCCTCGCCCCGTCCCTGTACATGTAGATTATTTGTAGATGTTATTTCCATGTTGTGAATATATTTTGTAGATGAAGCCATGCCTATCAAAGCTTTTGACATCCAAACGTTAAACTAATCAGCACCAAGGCAGACTGGGATCTCAAGTGCCCTCATTGCCACCATAATGTAGAACTCTTGACTGCAGATTTTTAAATGATATGATTAAAAAACAACAACAACAAAAAAAAAGAAAACAAATGCTCTTCAGATATACGATCAGTGAACCATTGCCTTGAGCATGTACCAGACCTGCATGGAAAAGGTGGACATAGTCGACCGGGACATTTAACAAGGACGATGACGTACACAACTCTTTTTCTTCTCACAACTGTGCACACGTATCCACCGGTTCATTTTTCTCTCGCTACATATGAAAAGTTGTAGTAATGCTACATGGTTTATTGGTTAGTTTACCTATTTCTTTCTCTGGTTGCACTATAATGGCTTCATTCCCTCACCCCAAGCCTTTTGAGGGGGTTTACATCATGTTTGTCCACAATGGTTCAGTGGTCTCCTACCTGCCCCTAATGGCCCAGCGATATGTCCACGGTCAACACCAGTGCCTGCTTACGTGATGGAGTGAATGTGAGCAAGAATGAAAGGAGAGAAAGAGAATCATTCCTGCAGCTCAACCCATGTCGTTCCCCTCCCTCACCTCCTTTAGCAGGAGATGAAGACTGGTTGTCACCCAGAATCCCCTTTTTCTTTTCTCTTAATCTTTCCAGGTTATTTTTTTCTTTTTCTTTTTCTTTCTTTTCTGTACCCTTGTTTTGTTTTAAAAAAAGAAAACTGTACTTTAAAAAAAGAAAAAGGAAAAAATGAACAAGTTGCTATGGCAACTTGTGATAAAAACCAGAGTTCATTCCTATGTACAGTTGCTAAGTAATAATGAAGTTAAAGTTTTATTAAAGTTGCAGTGATTACTAGTCTATCAGATATGTTGTATTCATAAATTATTACCACACATTTTCCTTTGCACCCTGATTGGATGGAATGGGGGGGGGGATTGCTACTGGAAAACCGAGGGTCAGCCAAGGACTGGACATCACCAACCCTGTTATACCAGGGTGAGGGCAGGGTCACCTGGGGTCAGAAGGTCAAATGTGAAATGTATGTATTGTAATAAACATGCTAAACTAAAATTTTGTTGTACTTTTTTTTTTGTTTTTTTTTGGTTAGTATTCTGTCAGTATGTCTTAGTTTCTTCTATGTTGAGTTTACTACAAAAGATTTAAATTAGGCAAAAATTAGCATAAAACCTAGGTTGTACACTATTTGGAGGACATTAAGTATATCAGTTGATTGTCAGTTGATAGTGGATATTTTAAATGGTCATGCACTTTACCCCTGTTTTCACATTTAGATTACATTTTCTGTCATCTACGACTTATTAAAATGTCATCTTTAAAAAAGGATTTAATAGCACTTTAAAAGCAGATCTCAAAAGGAATATTTATTGTTCATACAGTGACAACTAAAACTTAAAAATTGTTTAATTGAAATAAAATATATGAAAGACTTTCAAAAATTGGCAATGCTGCTAGGCACAAACTTAAATATTAAATTACTAAAACTGACGTAAATAAATCTAGGCTAAATAGAAATATTAAGAAAACAAGTAAATATAACAAGCCTGTAACTAAATTAAAATGTAAAATAAAAAAGGTAATTCTAAATATTAATATTATAATAGTACATAAATAATACAGGAATAACACTTATACTCTCAATTATGTTGTGATGCCTCACTTCGCTTGTGGCATTTAACATGAAATTTTTTAAGTTAATTTATCTAGATAAAATAGTAAATATAAATAAAACGTATAAGATTTTAATATATACTTTTTGGGGGGGGTGTAATCTGCAAACACTAGGAGTCAGTGTTTGCAGATTACAGGTTTGTGAATATTTGCTGTCTTTTTGTCCCGACAAAACCTATTTTCTTCGGTTTTCCGTTCTAAACTTTACATCAGATCTGGACAGAAGTTACCTGTCCTGTGTTCTACATCTGTCCAGATATGTCATCTGAAGGTCTACCTGTGGATTAAAAAAAAAATCAGAATATACTTCAGAATACAAAAACATACTGAAAATCTACTTTAAAAAATGTCATACTGCTTTTTGTGAAGTGGACTGGTCAAAGAGAAACGAGGAGTTAGAACATAGATATGGCCTTTAAATGCCTTTCGACTAATCGCACATCAACCGCATGATGTGTGTCATCATTTAAGAGCAGTTCAAAACTGTGCCTCTGCTTGAGGTCTTGAGATGTGAAGAGTATGTTATGCTAGCATGCCGAGTCACTCAACATCAATTGTTTTATGATTTAAGAAACCTATTTATAACTCTTCTTTAAAGCATGACGAGGTTGGTGAAAGTCTAAAAATACGCTGACGATAGTTTGTTAGCTATTCTGCTGGCATTCAAGAACAAAAGCAGAATAGCATGTGCTAATAAACTTAATTTAACTGTAAAGGGAGAAAAACACAAATGGCATTTGTTTATATTTCTTTTTATTGGTGTAGTGTAGAGCTATTTCAAATTGTATAGTTTAAGGGCTTGGGTTATTCCTATCAGATTTTATCAGCTGAGCCAAATTAGCATAAAGTGGCCCCTGTAATCTTCACCGATTATCTCTAATGTTTTGGTAAGTGATTGCTTTGGAACCCTGAACATGGACATAAAAAGTGGACATTTTCACAATTGGACACAAGAGGGCAGCACCTGATCATTCAAACAGAAAGACGTCTATGCAGTTGTTTGAAATGTTAATTAACAGTTATGTTGTTTGACACAAGGTTGGATAAACATGTTTGCCTAAAAAAAGTACAAAATAAAAATTTTTTAAAAGTTGGTGGCCGACTTAACTACTCTACGAAAAACGTCCCATTTGCTAAATTATTGTAATGTGCTTGAGAACATTTAGACTGATAGACTTATTATGAAAGTCATGATTACTGTATTCCACATCATCTTGTGATTCCTCATAATTAGGAGAATAAACTGGTCTTTAGAGTGAGTTACTGCTAAATACTCATGATTCATAGCGAAATTACTAAACATTAAAGGTCATATTCTGAATTAGCTATTGGTGGGTCAAATGAAGAATGATAGAAAAATGTATCTTTTTCTTCAAACAGCTCACCGGAGCATTAGAAGTATCGGTAGTGATGTTTCGTAGGGCAGTTTCTCAGATGAGTCTGTGGAGGTGTGAATCTCGCCATTTGAAGGGAGGACTGGTTTTGAACAGGCGCCTCTGTGAAATTACCAACAATTAGGATAATTGCTGTCAATCCGGTCATTTCTGTAGGTCTCTGAATGTGTCCCCTGAAGCGGAATGGCTTGTCTTTAGCCTTTGACACTGAATCGATGGCCATCTATCAGATGTGAGCGTCTCCCAGTCTGCCTCTCATCATCAAACACTTCCCGGCCACTGCCGTCCGTCACTACCTTTAGCTATAATAAACCACGGTACGCGCAAATTCCACTAACTATCTATCTATCTATCTATCTATCTATCTATCTATGTTTGTGTGTACAAAATCTGTTTTGATTTAGTTAACCAGCCTATTATATCCATTAAACTTGCCTCAATAAATTAATGAAATAAATAAAAGCATATTACATCGTAACTTTCCAACAAAGGGATCTGGCGATTTTTGACATGAATGCTGTTGTGAATCTGATAGATTAAAAACGTAAACGCCCAGTTTTTAATGATTAGAAAAAATTAAAAGAAAAAGTTTTAATTAAAAGAAAAGGGTGTAGGGCAAAAATTGTAACCCAAAAATGGTGACATCTAAATGATTTTTTGTTAAAATTCAAGTCAATTAACTATTTAACCTTTTCACTCTTCAAATAAATAAATAGAGAGAGAGAGAGAGATACACAAAATATTTACACAACAAAATAGTTAAATGCACAAAAGTTATGTAGCCTAGGTAAATAAACCGTATTAGCCTGTAACCTCACAGATTTTCAGGCAGACTTTTCAAATCAACGGCATATGATATTTTTTTTCCAGCAAAAAGTATTTTAATTTTATTCTAATCATTCATTTTGTTTTATTTTTAAAATAATTCAAATAAAAGACATCATAGCCTACTGTTTGATGGGTGGGTCTAAATGTTTGTGTAAATAGCCTACTGCATCACTATAGACTTAGTTATATTTGTAGAACATTATATTTGTTTATTTATGGTTCAAGGTTGCCCAAAATGCCTTAAATTGTGAAGCACATGCCCTGACCAAAGTGCTCAACACATTAGGGCGGGTAGGGCAGTTGAGATATCGATCGTTGTGCTCTGTGTGTTTTGCATGGGATTGTCTGGGGGGTAATTGAGTGTCACTGTCTGTCTGTGTCGTCTCGCTGGCGCCATGTGCCTCTTTGGATTGCTAATTTCTCTAACCGACCCGCCTACATCCACTCTCTAGTGCAGGCCTGCAGTATCCACCTCCAGCAGCCTGGGAAACGCTGTCATATGGCTGACAAAGCACTGAAACATAGTTTAACGCGTTTCTCAAAACAAAGAAAGAAATCCAAAATAAATGAGATTTGGACAACTATCCTCGATCACGGAGCAGCGGCTCACTGGCCGGGGAAGTTTCACTGGATCACTTTTGGAAATCCATTATTAGTTCTATCCTCAGGGACAAACATTAAGATTTTGATATGGGTCTTTTAATCTCGAGGATATAATATATTAGGTTTCTGTTTCGTAATCAGCCACACCAGCTCCCATTTTAATAACCATTATGTTATTTTTTTTTCTTGCTACCTGCCTCATCATGCGATTCTGTCTCAGCATCTGTAGGCGGAAAGACAAATTGTATGGCCGCTGTGTGAACCAATACCAATGCCAATAGGACGGTGTATGCAAATGAACCAACAAAGCAGACCAATGAACGTTCATGTGGGCGTGGCCACACGGCTCCCAAAAGTGATCCAGTGAAATTTCCCCGGCCAGTGAGCCGCTGCTCCGTGATCGACGATAGTTGTCCAAATCTCATTTATTTTGGATTTTTCTTTGTATTATTTCACGAATCCGTTTTATTTGTGTATATATTCGCGTTTCTTACGTATGACGGATTGGTTTGGTTACGCACAAGGAATGTTTTTGTAGTTCGGCGTTGGTCTGATGGAACAAGACAGCCTTTCTGTTCCCGTTTG